ATCCGCATAAGAAGGCTAGGCAACTCCTACACCTCCCACCTCCCCCCCCCTCCCGGACAACTCGCTGTAGGTTGCTGCTCTTTCTATGATGACTGTTGCTGCCGTATTATTGTGCGTGTGTAAGATCTTCTTGTTTGTGTAATTCAGTGACCTGAAGAAGGGCTTAGGCCCGAAACGTAGTCAATAAATTTTGGAAGAAAAGAAGAGCTTCTCACTCCCATACACAAGAACAAGTCTTCTTTTCATTTTTTGTTTGTACCATCTGGGTATTTGCTTTCTTTTTTGCGAATTCCGGGGGGGGGGAAGGATCCTAGGGGTGAATTCAATATAAGCATCTCGAAGTGGAACGGGTGTAGCGACAGGTGAGCCCGCTTTCCAATTGCACCGTCTTGTGGTCAAATTTCCGATGAAGTCCTTCTTAACCAAGCCTTCATCCCTATTATTCTCCAGATTCACCAGGTGAATAGAACTTCACATCGGCTGACCGAGCGTTTCATTGTGAAGCAGAAATCGCGCTCAAAGCGCCATTACCCTTCGAGATGGAATGGGAAAGCATGGCGTATGCCAATAAACCTCTTCAAGATATTCGAAGATGTTTCTGGACATGAGATCCAAACTGACTCATTTTCTCTGTTAAATGCTTTTCGCTTTTTAGTTTCATAGTTGTGAGATATTTGTTTGCTTCGGAATTGAAGCTAAGCATGAAAAGTCCCTTGGTTGGAGTAACCATCAGTAAAGGAACCCTCGTGGACGTGTTTCGAAAGCTGACATCACACATGCTTTCTGAATCTGTCCAATAATTATTCCTGCAAAGTCAGGGGAGGGGCTTCCACCCCCTCCCCGCGCTGTTGCCTTGCATGTTATTGCCTCGAAGAGCGCCTTTACCCATCGGATGAGGAAGCTGAATCTGGGTGTAGTTCAGCAAATCCTAGCAGCAGCGAGGCGAGATAATAGGTGGCACAGCGGAGTCATTCTGATCTGGACCAAATTCACTCAACGCGGCGCATCAAGCCGTTTAGTTAGGAACTACTGTTCTAGTTCGCGCGCGATGGCCACGAATGCCATGAGCTCCACTCGCTGAGCTGTAGCAACATGGCAGAGTGGAAGGGTAACTCTTCCTTACCAAGAAACCGAGAGCTAAGACCTCCGGCAGGTTTCCTCCCTTCAATTTTTCGGAGACATAGCCGGAAAATGTTTTTAACACTATTGCAATATCAGTACTCGCTTACACTTACAGTAAACCCCCACGCCAACGCAGCTCCATGCAAAATCTAGGGAAGCAGATTCCATAACTTCGCTCAGAAGATGGTCCGGCGTTTTTGAAAGCGTATTCGAGATCTGTGATAGGAAACAGCGTTCCATGGTGAAGGGCCGCTTGATTAGAAACAGCCGTTTTGATGATGGAGGTTCAGTCGTCGAATCACGCGCTGATCCCGGAGACCTTCCTTCGGTGAATAGATGTTCCCATGGTCCCAAACTGCTTAGTGAAGTTGCTAATGATTATGACTAGGGTGACATGCAAGTTACTAGCTAGAAACCAGCTTTCCTTACTTCCAATAAATGGGCCACAGAAGCAGGACTATGCTTTCGCTTGGCTTCCGTCTAAGGGCTGGTGGCTAGAGGAGGCTGAGCTATTTCTTTTGCCTTTCGACTCCTCTTTTTGTATTGATTTTTCGACAGTCAATTTGAATCTTTCAGTCATTTTGTTTTCGTTCACTGTTGCTCTATAGAAGTGCCACCCAGTACCTAATGTAATTTCAGTCAGTCCACTGGTCCGTCCTTCGGTTACGGAAAACGATGTTCAGTGAATGGTATTCAAAGAAACGTGCCCGCAGATGCGGGAGTGAAACGATTAGTGGTGGAGACGCGATTACAACCGCTGTTCGATCTGGATCAATTCTCATCAAAATCTGACCTTGAGGAGGCTTTTCATTGGTCGGGAATGGGCGTTCAGGTACGCTTATTTGACAGTATTGGCGATTCACCTTAATCTGGTTCCGTACCTAAAGGAACATTCCACGCTAATAGCGTGGGCGGATTACGACCCGCCATGCTCCCCTTCTCACCCTTGCGCCCCTTCCCCTTTCTCGAGAACAGTAATGGAGGAGGAGTACGCATAGAAGATTGTGGTATACATTCTGCCACCCACACTATCACCGTAGTAGGTAGGAATGTTGCATTTGTTTTTTTTTCCTAAAATGTGACGACCCACTTTCGTAAAGGGGAGGCAATACAAATGTCAGGACGCGGGGTCGTCTGACAGTATACGCCTTCCTTATTTTGCATAACTATTTCGGAAAACATATCAAAGTACTTCAGACGCACTCAGTCGGATACAGTGGGTATTCTTAGAAGCAGTGGGCGTGTCAACGGACGCTGAGTTTTGACGCCGGCCGGACGGCCCTTCCCACCAGTCATTGATCACCTTGAGCCCCAATGATCACTGAGAAACAGGCTGGCGCCAGTCAAAACAAATGGGCTGAACACGCCCTGACTGACCTCAGCGGTAACGCTTCCGATCCTTATTGTTTCTTTCTATTTCTTTTCCTCTTTTTTTACTTATCTCTCTTTTGTGCGCACCAAGTGCAAGTAATACTCTCTAATGCTTCCTCTATCTTCACTACCATCGTTCACTTTTCTTGGGCCATTATCTGCTTAGTACCAGTTTCATGGCCGTTACTCGGACATTGCAGAGAGATCTATGAGGCTGCCGTCGTTGACAAGATTCCGGTGACAATTATCGAAGGTCGTCGAGGATCTGGTAAAACGAGTATCATCAATCAACTCATTCTCAATTCCTCCTTCTACTCAGCCAAGGTACAAACCAGTTTGATGATTCACTTATAGGAGGCAATTGACATCCCCTGGGTGCTTGAAAAGCCTCTTCGATGCACGGAAAGTGGGACACGTTTGAAAACTCATCACATCGGCTATTCAACTGGGCCACTTTTCTCATATCAGCGCTCAGCCACTTGACCAGAAATCCTTTCCAAGAAGTAAACGGGGACAAAAATTTGAAAAGTTCAGATGTAAAATGGGAATCAATGTATTGTTAAAGTCAAATACAGTCTTGTTCGCTGCGGATGATGGGGCGTGACGATGCGGCTGTGTCAGATTGGCGGGCAGGCCGCCACACTGTTCTCCACCAGCTGTTGATGCGGATAAGCGACAACGATTAGTGGAGAGCGGCTGATACGAGAGATATGATCTATGGGTTTTGTCGTTTGCTGAAAGAAAAAAAGAACAAAGAAAAAACAAAAGAAATGGGTTGGCGCCGCGCCAAATTCATTCACCGGACAGGACCCATCATCCGCAGCGAGCATGACTGTGCCATTTTGAAAAGCTGTGAAAAACATATAAGTTCCAGACATCGGATACGATCGATTCTGGCTGTGTTCCGGACGGAGGTACCACCTGGAACTCGGCCAACTATGAATGGATGAGAGCTGTCGCCGCACGTCTCGTCGCCTTTCACATTTGCGACATACAAAGTGTTGGTCTCTTTTCTTTCCTTATTTGTCCACTCTTAGTTTTCTTCGTCTCACATATAGCACAACTTTTCATTAGTATTGGTATCTGTTTTACTCCTTTACTACTTCATGTCATATTATTAGATTTTATTTTGCTAGCTTGGCGCTTGCCGAATGTGCTGGGTGAAGAAGTTGGCAAGTATAGTCTTGTTTCCGTGTTGAGAATTGTTTTCTGAGGCCCGTGTCAGGGAAGAAGGAGCAGGGGGGGGGTGGCGAGTTAGGCTTTGCAAAAGCTCGCTTCCCATTAATCCTTGTCACTTGCCTTCTTCACCAATTGGTGGAGAACGGAGTGGCGCCGCGCCAAACCCACCCCTCCCCCTGCCCAGACACGTAACGACGTCTGGAGCGAAGACGACTGTAGTGCCGCTTATTACCCACAAAATCAGGGAATAAAATCATGGATCGACTGGGTACATCGGCTAACCCAGACACTCATTTCCTAGGCCACTTCGGTTTGAATGCCCAACAACTATGAATAGAATTCCGATGCCTGGCGCAAATTGCTTTGATTTAAGATCTATGGGCCTATCTGTAGAGACGAGAGCCTCAGGAAAACTTCAGATGATAGTGAATGCGTTGAATCTTCAATAGAATTTCTACTAACCCATCCACATCCCCAAAGGGTACCTTCTAAGTCTCACAAATTATGCAACATTCTGAACATTTTTTTTTTTGCTTATTACATACATTCTACTGCAAACATGAAGTGTTCCAGCTACTTACAGTACCATTTCAGTCTTCCTCCTGTTCGATACCGGAGTTCGTATGTAACCTTGGCGCATGGCTTTCCAGGTCTCCTATACTCAAAAGCTATGCGGATATTCTCAATAAGGTTGGTTTGCTAAGTCAAAAGATTGCTAGTACAATTTCTAGCACTATCTATTCTTTTCTGCCCCGAAGAAGGCCAGCTTTTTTACCGATTTCCTTCTCCAAAAGCAGACCTGGTTTAAAATTTGCCTTCTGTGGCCCGCGTCCCACAGCGCCGACCCCAAAACACCATATTTCATGAAATTCGCTCGAAAGGCGTCTCCAGGCGGATAATTCTACCCCTGACAAGTATCAATGTCACAAAACCGCATGGCGCCAGCGTTAAAAGCGAGAGCACCACATTCCTTTTTGGTCTCGACGCAAGCAGCGCGGACTCCACGATGTTTCGTGCTAAGCGCTGTGCTAAGGCAGTTAGGGAGGGGCGGAAACACCAGAAACCACTCTGATTGCCAGCAAACGGATCACGTTCTCGGGGAAGAACGCAAATGAGCAGAAGCTGGCTGCGCATACACTTGTACCCCCCCCGTTTTCCCTTCAAAGGCATGGTCCGGCGACCAGCATAGAAGTTGAAGAATATGGCGTCGAGAGAATTAGTGTGATCGTTTGCGAACATGAACAACCTTGCTACAGTTTTGCGGGCACCACAAATTAGTAGGAGGGGGCACTTAGTAGGCATATAGATTCAGTGCGCCTCCTCTTTCTTCCAGTGACTCCGCCTCCAGACCCGCCTTCGAGGTTTCGGATTTTCAGTGAATAACGAAGCTACAGGAAGAAAAAGCATGAAAAGCGTCACTTTGTACGGTCATAGAGTTCTTATAGGGGAATCAGCTGTGCGGGGCGCAGTGTTGGAGATGGAGATCATTGGGCGCTTACAAACTGGGACGAAATGGGGTTATATTTAGGGCAGGATACATGTTTTTTTTTCTGCTTTTTGCTCCACTGTTGAGTTACCCAGCACCCTGTCGTCTATATACAAACCCCAATCCACTATATGTGATGGCGAATGATCGCAGGCTCTGCCCTTAAAGGCACATTCCGCGAAAAAATAAGGCTATGACCTCTCAAATGTGTCGGACGATCCGGAAGGCGATTTTTGAGGCTGCGCTACTTTCAAAATGTGAAAAACGGCAAGAACTCCGCTAGAAGCTGACTAATTAGGCCCATGGACACCCCTTAGGCCCATGCCGACCCTCACCGCCTGTTTAGTCTTATTCGTAGCTATGCAAGGTCCACTATGTGCATGCTCTTATAACTAATCGGATGTCGCCTTTCTGATCTCGAGAACATCTCACCACTTGTGTGAATCAGATACTTATGGGGCATTTGGTGGGCGTGGATGTGTATGGTTCGTTTCCGCTCATTATTGCGGGGGTCTGTGTGTGTGGGCGGAAGCTCTGCCTTAAATCTATCATCACCTCAGATGTGCAGATGAGACATTCGTTCTCGAAGAAGCAAACTATCCACGGAGACAATTTCCAGACAATAATCTTCTGCCTGAACTTCAAACTGAAAATGGTAGTAAAGTGATAAAGGGTGCCGGTATTTTTCATTACCCGTTCAGTAGGGCGGAAATTTCCGGGCTGTTGAAAGCTTCTGGTGTGTGGTGGGGGGGGTTTCATATAGAAACAGTATAGTGTTCGAAGAATTATTTAGTTCTTGTCCAGCTGTGTAGTCACTGTGTTCGAGAGATTGGGTTTTCCAGAGTGTTTCCAGGTATGCTATAGGATTCTCCAGATTCATTGGCAAACGAGAACATCACAGAGCAATTTAAATTACTGAAGTCCCCTAGAGCCATTGGCAAACAAGACTTTTACTAATGGTATTTACGATCAGAAAAATTCATTTGAAGTGGTTTCAGAGCGAGGAAACAGAATCGCTGTTGAAGGTGGATGAGTGCATCAAGCATGATGCACTGCACGTATTCCGAAAGGCAATTGCGGAACCCTTATTGCAGTTGAATTGTCTCGATCAGGTGAGGCTCTCATCTATGTCCTAGCAAAACCAGCAAAAAAATCGCAAAAGCCCTTTGGATCCTTGGTAAAGCTATGGCTGGCACGGCACGTCGAGCATTAAGTTTTTACCGATGGACTCCAATGATGTCTAGAGAGAAAAACCCAAGATTCGGATCCCGTCGCGACACAAGTGAATTACCTATAGCTCAGCTTATGCTACTACGAAGATAATCTGTTGTGACATCCTCGGCGGGATGTTACGCCGTACTATCAAAGGTCTTACTTCCCCTACGACTTAGTCAAGGATTACTTTATGTGTTTTTGGGTACTGCCCATACTTTTGTGAAAATTTGTTGCTTTTCTTCAAAGAAGTATTTCAGGGCAGTCTAGTGATTGTTGTTGATGGTACAGACGAGGCTGAGTTTCATCGTAGTGAAGATGGAAGGTCAATAGGTGCGTCTGAATTTTTCTTGCCTCAGTTTCTGTAGAGTCAAAGCATCAAGTGAATGATATAAATAATAATAAATGAATAAACTAATAGAAATTAATTTCATCATGTGAAAATTCTAGGAGGAAATGGAATGAAAAAGATGATGTTTATTATAATCAATAAAATATAGGTTGGAAGGAAAGTCTTGTCACTGTTGTGACTTTTTTCTTTTTTATTTTCTAACGTAACATACAGTGGGAATTAGTCAACAATACACTCGTCATAGTCAGCCGCTACAGTGCTCTACCTAATGGGCAGGTAAGCATTCCCCCTCTCCCAGAGCTGAGGAGGCTGCGAGTAGAGTAAGTCAGCGGCCTCCTGACTGGTGTCATCAAAATTGCTGAAAGTTTTCATAGATAAGAAGGCCTTAAGAAGGTGGAGCAGGTAGCAGTCGTAGGGACTACGTCAGGAGAGTACGATGAGCGGGGTTTGGTCTCCCAGCCTTGCTCCTCAATTATTTGGTAGGTCTCCATAGCAGGTATGGGGTCTCGCGTACTATGAACGAGGTGCTCCGAAGCTAGTTTCGGTCATTTTTCTCCAACAACTTCCACCGGTTTCAGGAGCTGAGCGACACAAATGGTAGCGGTGATCGTGTGTTCTTACAGGGCAGCTCGTTCTGCAGCATCCCCTCGCGTCCCAGGAGCAGCACAGGAGAACCTTCTCGGAATACATGCCCGGTTTGGACTGCTAGAATGGATCTTCTCCTTGAGAGAGACACACGGTACTGTGTGGGTTGAAATCACAGAGGACCCATCTCTCATCTCCACTAAGCAGTCTCCTAGAAACTCCTTGCGGGGCGGAGAAGGGGAGACTGACCAAGGGGTACCCGGGTGCACAACGTGCCATCGGTCAAGGCATGAGTGATCCATCGAGCCAGTACTTTTCGGTAGTCAAGGGCTTACAGGCGGTTGACGACTGTCAGTTAGGTACATCCGAGTCTTGTCGCAAGACTGCGGGTGGTAACCTCTGGATCCTCCTTGACAGCTTCGAGAATGGTGGAGTCTTCCACTTTGTGGGGCCGTCCCAATCCGAGGTTTGATGATGGTAGTGGTGGTAGTGGTGTCCTCCGCCAATGCACTGCTGATGTTGCGGACAGCTGCCGCTGCTCCAGTGCCGCGGGGCCACTGATAGAACATGATGACCCGAAGATGCTCCTGTGAAACTGACATCGTAATTAGACCCAGGAAAGTGCAGGCGCCCTCACACAACTCTTGCAGGAAAGCTCCTAGAATGTTCTACAAGCATGGCATGTTACGCCATGTTCGAGCATCAAGAACCGAAAAGTGTAGGCTTTTCAAGAAAACACTGACAGGACTTTCCATCCAACCTAATATCACAGTAATTGCTGGCAATAATTGGTATGTTCAAATAGCACCAATATTTCCTGCGGTTTCATACTGTCACGACTACAAAACATCAGAACAATTTTTTGCCGAAACGTCGTCTAGAGTGGTGTTTTGGAGTCCTGATCACGAGTATCCTATCCATTTGTGGAGCCAATAGGCGCCAATTTGGCGCCACCGCTTTTCTCAACAAGTTCGCTGCAAATCTGCTGTTTGGGGGTTATCAAGGGTCCTAATCATGAATACTTAGCACAAATACGATAAGCTGGGCGCAGGTGCCAAAAACGGATTATATATGTGTTTGTGGATCTACATCCCGGAATAATTCTTTGTTCGCAGTTTCAGCAAAGGAAAAAATTCAGATTGTTGTCGTAATAGTGCTCCATTTTTGTAATTATTTAATGCTTATTGCAACTTCTGAAATTTTTTTCCGGTTTTAGGGACATTCATTTGCACTCTAATACCTCATCTGCCCCCGTGGGTTCGGTTCGTCGTCTCATGCAATCCGGAAAATTCAAACGTCTACGACGATGTTATGACGCGAAGAATCAGAATAGGTCAGAGTTTGCTTTAATTCACCCTTTAAAGAATGATAAATCTGAAGGGCTGAGGTAGCATGATGACAAAGTGGCGCCACTAGCGCACCGATCGTACGTGGATCAAATCCAATAGTTTGCCAAATCTGGACTAGCTAAGCCTCCGCTAAGTATAACTTAGCTATCTAGAGCCAGTTTTGCCTGGAATAGTTGAGATGTTTGACAACGCATCCAGTGGATGCCAGCAAGTCGGTGCACAGTTCAAATTTTCCACGAAATTGCACTGCAATTCTGAGCGATGGTGGTATGTATGGCACATTCGAAAAGGGGCCGATCAGGGAACAAGTGCGAGTTTCGTCGTCTAATTTTTGAAAGAGACAAAAATCCGGATGGAAAATGCCAGATAACGGAGTCGTTTGTCGAAGTATCGAAGTCAGGGCACGCCATCGTTGTGATGAGAAGGGGGGTCGTATTTGACCGCGAGGGAGGAGGGTCGTATTTGGTCTGAAAAAGACTTTTTTGGTAGTTGATTTCTCTTGTTTCACGGACGCTATAAAGGAGGGGGGGGGTGTCGTATTTGGCTGTTGTTGAAGTGTTGAGAGAGGGACCGCCAAAGATCTATACAACCACTATTTCCGATAGTTGAAAATGAGGCAGCGTTCGCTAGCGCTTCGGTCGCACGTTCAACGCGATCGATACAGTCGAAAGCGTGCACCGCCCAACGCGCGACCAAAGCGCTACTGTCGCGAAGTCTGAACTCTGCCTGATAGTTAAATCCTGACGACCTCCTCCCCCGCTCGACGGAAAATTCTTGGCTGAAAAACTGGAAATTTTTCGGGAGAAAATGGAAAAGTGGTAGGAAGTTGGGAAAATCTAGGAAAGTGGTAGGTAGCATGGGGAACGGGGGATCATATTCGAGCATAGAATTAGGGGGATCGTATTTCTCAGGAAATGATCACAACGTGATGGCGTGCTCTGATCGAAGTCGTTCATGGGAATCAAAAAATCTCATCTTTCCAAGCATGCGAACTTCATTAGAGCTTGCAACAG